GATACTTGGAATGACAAAATGGATCATTTGAACTTAGACAATGATACCTTCTGGCAATTTACAAAAATGTTAAAGAGGACACATCAGTGCGAGAGGCCAACAGTGGCCAACGGCACGACTGCATATTCGGACATTGATAAATGTCAGGTATTTCCATTTCATTTAGAAAGTCAGTTCTCATCAAATCAGACACTCTGCAATGCTCATTTTGATAACCAGGTCAGAATGGAGGTAGAAGAATGTTTAGAGGCTCCCACGGTGCTCAACACTGATGGGTTAACTAATCCAAGTGAAGTTACAGATATCATAGCTAAATTAAATCCCAGCAAGGCCCCTGGCATTGACGGCGTGAGCACTTTTATGATTAGGAATCTATCTCGCTGTGGGATTACAAGAATTACCAGTATTTTAATATTTGCATTACGCTGTAATACTTCCCGGAATGCTGGAAGTATGCAAAGATCTTCTTATTACCGAAGCCTGAGAAAGACGTCACTTAAGGCGAAGAATCACAGATCCATAAGCTTCCTTTCAATATTGGCAAAGACTTTGAGCGGATTATCTTACGCAAATTTCAACAATTACATTTACTTCCGGAAGAATAGTACGGATTCAGAAGTAAACTCTCCACATCTAAACAACTGATTAGGCTTGTGGAATTTTTTGGATTTTCTCTGCATCATAAGAGTGGTACTGCACTGCTCATGTTGGTCGTGGCCAAAGCATATGCGTCTGGCATGAAAGGCTTTATTTATAAAATGATCATGATGAATCTACCCAGAGACTAATCCTACTTACCAGATCATATATTACTAATCGCTTTTTCATAGTAAGCTGTAAACACATTCTGGCTTCAAGGCAATCTCTCCAGGGGTCCCCCAGGGGTCCTGTCTTTGCCTAGTCCTCTATCTCTTTTATGCGGCGGATTTTCCTCGAGAGAAGTTTAATAGAAATATATTTCTCAGGCCTGCTACGCGGACGACACCGTGGTAACAGTCAGATCTATACTGCATAACAGAGCCAATTACTGATATGCAATATATTGTTATGGACGTTGAGGACTGGTGTTCCAAGTGGAAATTCTCTATCAATGCGACTAAATCGCAACTGCTATTAATTTGAAGAAAGAAAATAATGGTCACAGTTCAGCTACTTTACTTTTTCGGTTAACGCGTCCCTATGCTGAATAAGGCCAAATATTTAAGAGTGTACTTAAGATTCACGTGGAGCTCTCCTCTTAACTATATAGCAAACAAGACTAGAGGTGTTTCATAACAATTACAAATGCTGCTCGAAAACAGCTGACAATTAGATATTAGAAAAAAAAAAGAAGATTTATATTTTTATTTTATGGCCAATTATGTGCTACGCGTCTCCTGTCTGGGCATCTGCTACCAATTCAATGGTGACACAAAACAAAATTTTACTCACCATTACAGGGACGCATTTTTTACATTAAAAATAAACTCCTGCATGGTTATTTACAGATTGAATACATTGAGAAATATTTGCAGACTTAACAGCAATTATTTTCGATAATGGTTTGAACTGCAGCAAGGGAAATTTTAATGTTTCTCTGAGCTACGTGTGTATTCCTGAAGACTACAATATCAGGCCTTTCACGGCTCATCGTATGAAGAACCACAATTTTGTTACCTAGCCCACACATTTGTACATATGTATATAACGCATTTTCATGCGTTTTATTATTCCATTATTAATTGTTTGTAACATACCTCTTACTACTTTATTCTCTGCACATACTATCTATATTTTAGTTCATACTGAATCTCCACTTGTTCCATCCACTTAATTTTACTCTTGTCTCTTTGGGATGAGAGCCAGGTAGTCTTCATGATTGAACTTTTGTTGCCATGGCCGAAGGACCCTCTTTTCCTTACCTGCTCCGATTTCCCGACTGGGAGCTAGCTGATAGTCGCCATTCTGAATGCCCTTAGGGGATTAGATAAACATAGCTTATTAAGGCTCATCAGGGCTAAATAAGCATATGCACTTAGAATTTAAGCATTTAAACAGCAGTCACAATTCGCCCAATCAACTAGCAGCAGCGGGTTCTGCAGTGGACAGCGAGACGTCTTCTCTCACTATGAGATTATTTCCCCTGTTCCGTGAAGCTCATCATGCTCCTCATCGACTCTTTCAACTATGAATGCCATCTATTGCTTTATCTTATGAACTCTCTTCCATCTCGAACTCATCAAGAACTCTCCTATGTTATGCGCTATGATTAGAAAGTCATAGCGCATAAAAAATTTTATGATTAGAAAATCGCCATCCAGTTGCTACTCCGGGATAGTGCAACTAAGTTACCACTATTTCTTGTTGCCAAGGGCTCGAATATAGGCAAAATACATAACGACTGATTCCTTATGGATCTAAAAATTAAGGTAGAACAATATAAAGGAAGGTCGGGACCCCTGCAATGTTATACTTGCCAGGGGTTCCACCACACTCAGAGCGGGTGCAACTACTCACCTGGGTGTGATGCGGGGTAAAACATTTTTCGTATGAATGCCCCAGTAAGAATAAGGAAACACCACCACGGTGTGCGAATTGTAATTTAGATCACACCACCAATTTTAAGGGGTGTGAGAAATTCCCAAAGAGAACTAACAACGATAAACCAAAATCCTATGCAAGCCGTGTCGTTGAGAATAAATCCTTTGCACAGGAATTTACACTGACACCATAAGTGAAGCTAGGAAAGTATTTGCGGATTTATCTGAACTTGCTCCGGGTTTCTCCTATCCGAACAGTTAAGACAAGTACAAAACAAAACATTGAGCAAAACAAAACAAAGTCACGATAAACAAAACATTGAGCAAAATAATGAACAAACACAACAGCAATAAGGCTCCTATCGTGTTAGGTCTGTCTTCCTGCCCCGCAGACTGAATTGCTTGTTTCTGCTTAGAAGCTCCAATTTTAATTACAAAACTGTATCTGGTGTTTTTATGTTTTCCTGTATTTTACAGCTTTTAATGAAGTCTGAATTTTTATGCACTTTTGCCTTTTCGCGAAGTGAGAACTGAATTAATTGAATGAGAAATGTATCTCAAATGAAATTCGAGAAAATAAGTTGCAAAAAAATGTGTATAATTTAATAAGCCGAGCAGGAAAGTCACGTGGTGTCCGCGTCTGATATTTTTGTTTATTTTACAGTAGCATTAACGGGAAGCGAATATTCAGTGGGTTTGTCAATTTTCCAAGCAGCATGTATATAACAAACAATATGTCATCTGACGAAATTTTGGTCTGTTCGTAATTTCTTTGAATGCATTTACTAGCGTTTTTTGGATTTTATTTTTTCATATTGTAGTTTTTACACAGAAAAAATTATTTACTTTATAAAAGTATTATTTATTTTTAAAATAAGTAACTCTCGCATATTTCGCCTTTATATTTATGCTATGTGACTTCTTCCTTACTTTATGATGTAGTTTCATATAAAAAACAATTATTTATTAATTTTTAGAGATATCAATAACTCTTTTTAAAACGACGTTTTACTTTCCAAGTTGTTGCCACCAAATATTAGAGCCCTGCATTATATTTAAGAAATTAAGTAATGAAGAATATGCATGAATGTATGTATGTTTCTCGCACTGTGAAAAAACGACAGTACCGAGAGATATCCAATTTTAAATAACGTAGTCCTCCACTTGAATACTGGTGTCTGGAAGCCCAAATTTGGAATTTAGGATTTGTTTTATTACTTATTTTGTAAAACTTTAACGAATTTTTGATTAACAAACTCAAGATTTCAAAGCAATAATGGCATTAGTGTACTGCCCCCGGAAAAAAAAAAAAAAAAAAAAAATCTCCAGCGCACCAGACGGTGTATCAAAAATTCAGATATACTGTTTTAAAATATTTGTGATATTGCTGTTCAATTAAATTTTATGGTTTAAATAAGAAGAACATGATATTTAATAAATAAGGGTAACACACAAAACGTTAAAAAAACATCCCTTTGGGCGTAATATAAAATCTGAAGGCTTTCAGATTTTTAGTCCAAAGGGGCTTTGTCCCTGAGGGACTATTATTTTCGTTTTGCGATTTTTCGTCGAAACAGTGTAAATGGCTGTATTAGTTTTCAAACCGTTGCCACCAAATAAATCCCCCTGTATTATATTTGAAGAAATTAAATAATGAAAAATCTGTATAAATGTATGTATGTTTCTCGCATTGTGATAAAATAACGTTACCTAGATCCATCAAAATTTGAAAGACGTAATCGTACTGCGAATAGGGGCATCTGAAAGGCCAAATTTGAAATTTGGAATTCGTTTTATTATCGATTTCATATTTTGTAAAACTTTCGATTTCATATTTTGTAAAACGAATTTTTGATTAACAAACTCAGTAATTTCAAAGCGAGAAATGGCAACGTTGTACAAAAAGAATAAAAGCATTTTTATCTCCATCGCGTGTGACTGCATATCGGAAATTCTAAAGATATGCTTAATTTTAAAATTATTTTGCGATATTGCTCTTGAACTGAATTTTATGGTTTAAGTTCGAAGAACATGATATTTAAATAAATGAAGGTAACTCACAAAATGTTAAAAAAACTCTCCTTTGGATGTAATTTAAAATCTGAAACCTTTCAGATTTTCTTTTATTTATTTATTTATTACTTTTATTTATTTTTTTGTAATCAATTCGATCTTTATCCTGCCGATCGATTTCCCCTGCATATTCGGCTTTCGAGTCCTTGATAATCATTGACCATCTTCAAAATTTCATTCACCTCCAAACTATTTTATTCCATCAAAGATAGTCATTATGAGTGCAGAGGTGAATCACTTTTCAAAGCCAGCGATATTAGATCTTTTCCCCAAACATTAGCTGAGTTCTTCCTGACAGGAAATGCGCTCAGATGTAACATTTGTTGTGGAATTAATTCGCAGGAAGTGCATCTGTTTTACGGCATCCTGACTTTATCCGTTTGTTGGTTTTCCGAGCAAGTCTTTTGAAGTACCAGGATGGTACGATTATAAAGTATCTAAAGCGAATAAATTTAATGAAGAAACCGAATTCTTAGGGATAAAAATGAAGAGCCTATGAATCATGCTGTAATTATTATTAAAACTCTCCTTAGTAATTTTAAAAATGTATATGAAATATTCAAATATTAAGTTTCTAATTAGAGCTTGAGAAATATTTTATGATTCTGCAAGATTATGAGGATCATCAAAATTTTTACGGAGATCGTTCCAATGATCTGGTAAATGTAAATAAGCTTTTTCACTAGTAGAAAATGTTCTAGCATTTTTCAGAGGATGAGATTGTGAACAAAACTTCGAATATAGAACAAGTTCATTTTCGAATTTCAAAATCCATGAGAATTATAAATGATGCTGCATTTAAAAATATTAAGAAAGTTAGAACTATTTTTGATCATCCGATTCGTTTGGGTTGTTGCTGAAACACAGACAGCAGGTAAGTCCAAATAATTTTTAGATATTTTAAAAATTATTCAGCTATTATACTTAATTTGTAAGTTTATTCTGATAATAAAAGACTGCTTTTACTTAACACAAATCTTTTAAAATAGTGGTATCAGACTGGAAGCTACTGAAGTAATTCTATATGTTCCGAGAATATAGTTTTCGTAAATTAATTAGCATTATTATGATAAAAATTTGATGAAATTATTTAAGATTTTAATAATGTGGAGTACAGTTTTACATTATATTCATTATAATTAAAAATGAGTGTGATTAATGCCCCCCCACACACAAAAAAAAAGCCTGCAAATGTAGCTAATTAATTTAAATTGTGATATAAATCTTATTCAAAGATTTGAAGATACAGATTTGATTAATTTTAATCATACTTGTCAAAAGATAAATACTTTCAATTATGAATTTTACAGTAAGAAGAATCGTTTTGTTTGAGAGTGCATTTATATGTGAACAGTTTTTCCCGCAGTATTTCAAAAAAAAACGTAAGAGAAGGATCAGATTGGTAGATAAGTATTTATAATTCGTGATAAAGATACTTGCCGAAAATATTTTCTCCCAAATTTACAGATTTATTAATGTTAAAAAGCTGTCAGCTGTTGCAGCTGTCGGTGAGAAACAAGAAAGTGAGTTCGTTCGGTGAGAAAGTGTCGGTGAGAAACAGGGAAAATTATTTACATAGAAATGTGTATTTTTACTTCATTGTAAGAAGTAAAGATAATATTGTTATCGTGAACATTTTCGGGTATCATATTGTGCGTGACACCTGCACATACGGCCAGAATAAAGAACTGTTTTTGCCAAAAAAGGACGTAAAATGGATTCATAAGAGATTTTCATTGACGTACGTATACGTATGTATTTATATCGCATAATTCAGTAGCCGCAGAAAGTTCAAATTTTGTATATGGAACTGCTATAACATGTAGTTGTGCACCTCCTGTTTTCGTTGCTATCGGCTGTACTAATCATATGTAAATACATATGTACATGTAAGATAAAAAATATGAAAGCAAACTTCTAAATTTAATTCACTACAACCTCTTTTATTTTCTATTTCATTTGGGGACTTAATCTATCTGTCCTAAAAATAGCGCTGTAAATCTAAACTGCGTCATTCTAATTAATCATGCGAATCTTACGTAACCCTTAATGCAGATGCCTCTTGACCAATCACCAAATTGCAAACCATAACTTTTCTCTTCGCGTGCTTCCATCTTGCATAATTATGCACTTCAACTTTGCTCTCTACTCTGCTGAGATGTAATTTCGCTGGCTTGCTTTCTATCTCAACAATATCAAAAATGTAAATATCTTCTGTGGAAAGGCACGACTAGAATACCAAGTTATTGTGGCCACAAATATCAATTGGAAATAAAAATGGAATTAAAACTGCCTCGACTGCCAAGTTATTTATTATTTCATATATATATATATATATATGAAATGTAATTTCTCATACATTATTTGCTTTGTGCAGCCGGGGCAACAGGAATGAGACAAATTTTGGAATATAAAGTGGTAGGTTTATTTTAGCATCCATCTCACAAGCGTTCTCCTCGTACCTTGAGCAGAAGCCCTACTTATACATATGTGTGCGTCACGAGGAGAACGCTTGTGAGAAGGATGATAAAATAAACCTACCACTTTATATTCCAAACTTTGTCTCATTCCTGTTGCCCCGGCTGCACAAAACAAATAATGTATGAGAAATTACATTTCAGAAAGCCGGTAGGATTCGAACCTACGCGGGGAAACCCCAATGGATTTCAACTCCATATCAGTTTTTGTACACGATGCTGCAGAAACATAAAATGAAATTCAGAAGTTTCAACAACTGAAATTTAACTTTTTCAACTGTTGCTACAATTTATAACACAAACATATGAAAACATGAGCTCAAGGAAATGTGAGGGTATAGTACTCTACTTGTAGTATAGCCTCAATTGAGTGTTTTCCCACATGGGAAAGTGCATTGAACCTGAAACTCAAGTTTGAAGGAGCCGCAGTAAAGGAAAAGGGCAGACAAAGGGTTCTCAGACACTGAGAGATAAATCAACTATTAAGGGGGAACATGACAGGATGAAAACTATAAAAGAAGGGTTATAGATAGTTTATTGATTTATAAATTTTGATTTATTCATGATGTAATTTAAAGTTCTTGGGTGTGGATAATAGAACCTTAATTTTGACGCATGTACAATCTCAGTTGGTTTCTTCGTGTGAAAATTTTCCCTGTCGATTTCATAATTAACTTCAGATAATTTATTCATAATCTGATAAGGGCCTGAATAGGGTGAAGTCAGTTTTCTAGTATTTGGGTATTCGAATTCCTCGTAAAAAGACAAAATCTCCAGGTTGAAATTTAGATTCTACAAATCTGGATGTCATACCTAAGTTTTATTCTTTCTTCGGTGGTATTCGATAGTTCTTTTCTTTGCTAAAGCCCTTGCTTCATTTAAGGAAGGGTATTTATTTTGATCAATTGGAGATTCAAAAGGGAGGTTACCAAATAGTAGTATGCTGGGGTGAACTTAGTTACCGTATGAGGGGAGTTCTTATATTCGATAACAAACTTGCTCTAGCACTTTAGTCCATGGGTACTTTTTTAGAAGAAGAATTTACTTAGTATAATTTTAGTTCGACTTACTATTGATTCATTTACTCTTTCTACTTTACCATTTGTCTGGGGATGGTGAGATGAAGTTAAAAGTTGTTTAACATTATGCTTTTTAAGAAATTTTTTGAATCTAGAGGAAGTGAAGGCTGTCATTCCTGTCACTCAGAATTTTTTCGGGGACTTGTATTTGAAATATTTGTTTTTTTTTAACTGGCATAGGTTATTAGAATTTACACTTTAATCAATTGAATTTAAGCCCAACATATCATTACATATATATATATATATACATATATGTATATATATGCATATGTAATCTCACTCTGTTACCTGGCTCTTTGAGATTAGTTCTTTATTCTTATATGTTGATAAATTATGCATTTGTTTCTTTAAAAGCGACAATTATGTGGTTTTCATTCCTTTAATTAATGTACATGAAATAGTTATAGAATTATTAACATTTTAAAAGTTTAAGTGGGGAGTTAAGTGAAATAGTTATAAAATAGTGAATTAAGTCAGTTTCTGCACCTTCAGTGTCTTTTGTCAGAATGAGACTAAAAGTAAAATTTCAATTTTGTGTACTGAAAAATTTGCCTTCTTGCCCGCTGGCTGAATTGTTTGTTTTTCTGTAGAAACTCTAATTTTAACTGTAAAATAACTGTAAAATAAATTTTTTTCTGTATTTTACAATTTTTAATGAAGATGTTTTTAGTTTTTAGGTATGTTTATTTTGCCGCGAAGTGAGCACTGAATTAACTGAATTAGAAATATTAATTCTAATGAAATTCGAGAAAATATGTTTTAATGAAATGCAGGAAAAATGTGTATAACTTAATAGGCCATACAGTCATATGGTACCCACATCAAGTTTTTTGCTGTATACATTGAAGAAAAATTTAATAAAGAAAAGGAAAAGAATAGGTTGTCATTAGTGATTCTCAAGTTTTGTTTCACCTAAATGTTTTAGTATTTTTTTTAATTTTTATTTTTAAGCTGAAGTTAAAACTAAGTTATTTATTGGTTAATTCTAGGTTATGTTCCATTCCTCTTTCCAGCAATCATGAAAGGTATTCTCGATTTAACCAATAACAATTCTTTTTGATGCCTGAATATCGAACGCATCCCCGGCAGCATAATTCACAAGTGCACATCAGTATCGCCACTGGAGGGGGGTCAAAAATCTTCCAATGAGCTTCTTATTGCTTTGTGACGCTGAAATAGTGCATATGGGCGCATGTTGTTCTTTACGTTTTATTTTGGATTTGTTTCGCAGTTATAAATGTATGCTGTACAAACGCTTATCTAATTTTAGAAGAAACTCTCATTTTATAAGTTTATTTATTCATTAACATTTCATTTTCGCGAAAATTATCACACACTGTATGTTCGGATTAATGTGCTTAGCGTTTTATCCCTCTTTGTATCGAGAAAATGACTCAAGCTACTTAATGTTCGGATATTATGCACTTACTAGCACCTGTGAATTAAGAGAATTCAAGTGTATAATTTTTTTATTGAGCTGAGAATAACTGAAAGTGTTACAATGAATCTAACATTTTCTTATTTCATTGCTTTCACTTCTTTGATTTTGAAAATGTAAGATTCAAAATATTTATTTGGAATGATCTGGTTATACCTCTTGTTAACATTAAAAGTTATGTATGAATAAATTAAATGTATTTGCTGTGGATAAGATAGATTTATTCTGTTTGAAAAGCATTTCTTATGCAGACGATAAGTTTAAGACTGAACAGTTATTAATGTGAAATTTAACACACTCGATGTATAGGAATGCAAATTAGGAAAGTTAACATTGAATGATGATGTGCATTGGATATTATTACAGGAGATTCTTTACCATATAAACTGAAAAGACCTGTACTATTTATATATATAATTATGCTCATCTTTGATCTAACTTCGCACTGAAAATTTTCACCAGAAATTTACAGTGCTTTCATTATTTTGTACAGGAAATTGCGTGGTGAAACATTTTCAATCATCGAACTTAATCCGTATTTCCTTATAGTCCAATAAATCGTCCTAAAAATAGGACAGCACACATAAATGGTCTTTGTATGAAATCTTTGAATTAATTTAATTCAAAGTAAAGACGATTTATTATTCAAAACTCATTTAACTATATATTTGTCTTTATTGCAAGTTAAAATTGAAGGTATCGCAAATTAGAAGAACTCAAAACACCTTCATAAATGGTCTTTGTATGAAATCTTTGAATTAATTTAATTCAAATTAAAGACGATTTATTATTTAAAACTCATTTAACTATATATTTGTGTTTATCGCAAGTTAGATTTAATTTAGATATATTTTATAAATATTTTAATATGGGAATTTTCACGGATTTTTTTCTTACGTTTTTAATGTACAAATTTTTAAGCTTTTGAGCTCCAAGGAAAACGTACATATAAATTTATTGAGATAATATTCTATACTTTTATACAAGTAAAAAACGTTTTCAAAAGATTTTCCCTAAAAGATAAATTTTCCTTGCATTAACTGTCCTAAAAATAGGACGACGGTAAAATCCACTACTATATAATCCCCATTAGTTTGCAATGAAGATAATCCTTTCTTTCTCTGTTATCTTCCACTCCTATTCTACAACACTGCTATTCTACAACTAACCCAGGCGCTTTAGTGTAGATAGTATGTGCACGTCAATTGACAGACAAGTATGTGCTGTTAGCAAAGAAAAAGTTATGCTTCGAAAACCATTTCATTCGCTATACACAGGTTAAGGCATTGCCTAGGGACCTAGACGTGTGCGACATCGTCGTTTGATGAGACAAGTATGTGAAGTGTGTGTGGGAGGGGGGCTGAATAAACGTTTTTAAGCACTGACTCATGAAGTCAGTTTATACTCTGAAATTCATCGAAGTAGACTAAATTTCTCTCGTTTTTACATGCTTGAATTTTGCGTTTTCTTTTGGAAAATTATTTTGATGTTAGTATTATGCCGCGTAAATATTTTACTGCACAAGAAGCCTTGGAATTTTTGTAGACTTCAGATTACAGTGATTTAGTCGACATAGACAATGAAATAGTGATTTTGCCCCCGGATCCCGAAGCACTAAGTAATACAGAGGAGATTGATGATTAATCTACAACAGAGTTGGAAGACAATAATGTGTGATGAAGGAAGTCTTAAAGAGGTTGCGGGTATTATTGAAATTTTAGTTTCAAATAGCAATGAGGATAATAGATGTAATGAGGATAACAGGATGTAAATCCCAAACGGGTAAAATGTGAGCCCAAGTTCGAACGTATTCCAAAGGCTTTTCCTCATGAGACAGCATTTGTTACTTCATAGAAACTCAAACACTTATTTATCAACTTTTATTTAGTGATGATAGTATGAGCCCGCTTGGTTTTATGAAAGACGCATAACAGCTATTGTTATTTGCTATTTGGGAGTTTATATTCCAAGAAATCCAACTTGCAGAAAACTGTGTGTTTAACAAGTTAATGAACATTTCTTTTAAAGCTTCGAAATGAACAAGTTATTGTAAAAAATCCAGAAAATAGACAAAGAAGATGCCAGCTAAAGATCTGCGCCGCAAAACTAACAATTATTCGTAAAAAATGTCACGTTGGACTATGTTTAAGATTCTTCCTCCCATTGCACCTACGTAATTGACTAACAGTGGAATATACGATTGTCCAATTTTTAGGACAGGCTGTATTGATCAAACTAACAAAAATTTGGTATTTTTTTTTTTAGTTTTATTACATAAACGTAGAGAAACACATATTTGAGAATTCATAAAAAAACTATTAATTTCTTAATGCTTGGTGTGATATGGGTTAAATCGCGGCAAAAGCCATACGAAATACAGAAATATTACTGGAAGCCCATTGGTCCATTCTAAAAGCTACTCCCTGGGTGGCGGTAAAGATGTGCACTTACGAAATATGCTCCCCGGCATTACCCAGCAGCCTCTTTGGTCCAGTATGTCGGCCCTCTGAATGCCTATAGCACCAATATGGGTTTTTGTTCAGTGTCTCAAACTTTAGTTGAATGTATCAAAGTGATAATTTGAGTGTATCAAATTTCACATTTCAAATAGGAAACGAACATAAATTATAATTTTACCCTTTGCTGTATTATTATTATTGTCGTCTGTATATATTTCTATAGAATATGGTAAGCGAAATTAAAATGTATTCAAAATATTTTTATTTTATTAATAAATAGTTTTCTTTCTATTAATAAAAGTAACTTGGTTAGCCAGGTACACAATAATAATAATAATACCTTTGCTGTATTATTATTATTGTCGTCTGTATATATTTCTATAGAATATGGTAAGCGAAATTAAAATGTATTCAAAATATTTCTATTTTATTAATAAATAGTTTTCTTTCTATTAAAAAAAGTAACTTCGTTCGCCATCTACATAATAATAATAACACCTTTGCTGTATTATTATTATTGTCGTCTGTATATATTTCTATAGAATATGGTAAGCGAAATTAAAATGTATTCAAAATATATCTATTTTATTAATAAATAGTTTTCTTTCTATTAAAAAAAGTAACTTGGTTCTCCAGCTGTTTATGAATCGAGCATTCAACATATATGCAATTTGAGTTCGAAACCACTGGTATGCTGTATATTATAAAGAAAAATGCAAGGGGGTGGATTTTAAAAGGGTTGGTGCAGGAAAATGTTGGGGAGTCCCCTGCATACACTGTTAGTGCTCTAATAGTTAAAAAATATTTTTTATATAAAAATTCAAAACATACAAATAAATCTGAAATTCAACAAATTTTGTATTTTGAAAATAAATATTCAAATTTAAACCGATATTTTTTACTTTCTATTTCACTATAAAATGGAGAAGACATATATGAAATTTTTTATTACAGATATTCTGCAAACAGCCGTTCCAAAACTGAACATCAGTGAACCATACATTGACATGAAAGTCAATTCAGTTTTGTATTTGCAATGTACGGGCAAATATCCCCTATTCTGGACATATGTAGATCCTATGGTGAGTATTTTACTGTTGCAGCAAACCAATTTTTTGTTATGTAAAGTAATATCTTGGTACATATCCGCTTTGAAATACGTCCAACTATGTCCTGCTTGGAAGCAAACATTTTTTCTTTGGTATATAATTCTTATTTGAAACACCACTCGAGCTCGATGAATTACGACTGCGCGCACTCCACTAATTTACTTCTTTCAAAATTATTTCAAAATTCTTTTCACTTATCTTCTTCTTTCCCACGAGCGTCTGCACGTTTGTTCCTACGTGGTTTCTACTTTTCAATAAACATCTTGCGATATAAGTCTAAATTTTCAAGTAATTTTCTGTTTTCTCGTGTGCATTTTTTGTGAATTCATTAACTAATGAGTTTTAGGAAAGTTAATGAGAAGAGTCAAGCTACGAAGAAAATGGTTAGGATCACCATGGAGATGAAAAAAGAGATTTTTGAAATGCGTGAAAGTAATGTGTGTATCCGGAACTTAACAGTTGCATACCGTATACCGTAGTTGCATGCCATCGAGTACGAAGATGCCTGCGATCGTGAAAACAAAGTCGCTATTAAATTGGCTAAATTTGCTAAGGTCGTAAAATCTCTTAAGAAACCAAGATCAAAAAGTTAGAGCATGTTAAAAATTTACTTTTGGTCTGGGTGGCAGAAAAACACGTACACATAGTATATTATAAGCAATGTTTCTTTTATGTACAGTGTACAGTATATGTTTTATCTACTGCACTTGTATTTTAGTATACAAATGCGACAAATAATATACACTGGTGTGCAAAAATTAAGGACGAGACGGTTTTATCAATATAACTTTGTACAAAAGCTTTCCAAATCAACACATTTAATACCGTAAGATCCCCAATACGTAAGGACATGAGTAATGTAAGCAACACTTACTAAAAGAGAAATCAGAGGGATAAAAAGAAGCTTTATTGAAAAAGTAGCATGGAGCGCAATGCGACTGAAGGCCGAAACATCCCTGTGATGGGTGTCCAGCAAGAAACATCCGGTCTTTAATAGACAAATTTTGTCTCCACTATCGTGAAACGATGCTGTGAGCAATTCCAAACTCTGCAGCCACACTTGTCACACTGCGGCCTTCCTCCAACTTCCCAATGATTCGACCTCGGGTAAAAGCATCCAGATGTCGTCTAACAGATTGTTCGCCATTTCTCGCTGAGGCAGCAACTCGGTGTGATTTTAACTGCTATACGGCGTGCAATCTCTTTGCCAGAAATACTGATCTTACGCCGACAACATGCTTTATACTACTCAGACACTCCCCCATTACGTCTACCTGCATATCTGCGCATGTGCTACCGTACATAACCTTACTTAATCTCCTGATTGGTCTTTCTGTCCGCTCTGCCTCTTCGTTCAGCTGATATGCTAATTTTTCGACTTCGTACTTAATTTTTGCACACCAGTGTATAAGAAAATATATAAGTGTTATAATAATCACAATAAGATATTTTACAAGATAGCAATAATTATTTTCTAATTACTTCTTATTAGAAATGTTCTTTTGGAACATAGAATGTAATATTTTTATAAATTAATACCATAAATCTTAATTTAAAATGACATTAATTATATTCTCTTTAATTCTTACTGGAAATGGTCCTTCAGTATAACATAGGATATTTTTATAAATTAGGAATATTTTAAAAATTGATGCAATAACTCTCAATTAAAAACGACATTAATTATATTTTCTTTACTTCTCATTGGTAATGTTCCTTTGGTATAAAACAATATTTTTATGAATTACGAATATTTTATAAATGAAGACAATAATTCTTAATTAAAAATACATTCATTATTTTCTCTTTATCTCTTATCAGAAATGTTCCTTTGGTATAACAGAAAACATTTTTTTAAAATTAGTAATATTTTACAAATTAATACCCTAATTCTTTATTAAAAATTTCATCTATTGTTTTCTCTTTACTTCTTATTGGAAATGTTTCTTTGGTATAATATTCAAGGATCTGGTACGGATTAATGACATATACGGTACCTTTATATTTCGTTATAATTTCTTATTATTTCAACTAGAACACTTAAGTCTGCAACAGATGTAGTTATAAACCACTTAAATCGCAAATAGTAACCAGAATAAACCTAAGGCCTATATAAATTATTTTCCTGTAATTTCTCATTCCATAAACGAGTTTATATAATTCACGTTTTGGCATCTATTCGTATTAAACTTTTAAGTAAATAGCACGTATTCCTAGAATCTAAAAATGTTAGCAGCATAACCTGGACTGCAAAATATTGTGATTATTTTTAACAGAATTTTCTCTCTTCAAGCACACGCTTCGGTTTTAAATACAAAACCTTATTTCCGTTATTTTATAATTAAAGGTAATTCTAAAGGAAAGGTGTTGTGAAGAGTATGAAAAATCTCATGTATTGTGAGGTCAAGTCTAGAATATTACTCCTATGAATAGATAGGTGTTGTGAAGAGTATGAAAAATCTCATGTTTTGTGAGATCAAGTCTAGAATATTACTCCTACGAATAGATAGGCTAATTTAACATCAGCTTTGTACATATATATGTATTAATTCAATGCGTTTTCATTGTAGCAGGATATGTCACAAAAATTAATTCGAGCTTTTAATTGTGTGTTAGTGACTATGACGCAACTCTTACACTTCCACTTTTTAAATGTTACAGAACTTTCTTACGTGAAGTTTTGGGTTGTACATTGCTGTGATACTGTAAAATTAATTAATACTTATTCTGGGGTTCTATCGCCTGCGTACAACTTTTCAGAGCAATTAGAGTTCCTTATGGAGCTTGAGAAGGAAGGGTATATCTTGCACAAAAGAAAAAAAAAGAGGCATTTCTATATCTCCCGCTCTACTGGGCCGATTGAGGAAATTTAACATGCATGTGTCATGCCTCGAAAGCGCAACTTAAGATATATATTAGATTTACACACAGCATTAATCTAACAGAGGTATTCTGACATAAGATCGGACCTTTTCTGAAATGTCATTCGTACTTTGTTCCATATTTCAATTCCGCGGGTCAGATTATGCGAAAGCGACAAGTTTTGTAAAAATCGCAAGAACAAGTTCTAAACAACTACCTCTCAAAAGTTTAGTTCCTCATTATTAGTTTAATTTGATATATATATTTATTAGTGCCTCTTTTTTTTACTTCCTTGTACGAAGTAAAAAGGAAGTATTGTAATCGCGAAAAGTTTCAGGCAGCATATTTCAACGAAAATATCCATTTTGACCGCTATCGAGTGCAATTTAACGATGTTTTTGCGTGATATCTGTACGTAAGGACAGAATAAAAGACTCGTTTCCTCCAAAAAAATTCTAAAACTGCTTTAAAATGAAATCTGAAGAGAATTTTTCGTGGCGTCTGTACGAACGTATGTATAAATATATTTACATATATATACACTCTGTTACCCGGCTCAGTAATCTCAGTTTCTTTACTCGTATATGCTTGTAAATTGAACAACTTGCTTTAAAAATGATTGAATTTGTTGTTTTTATTTTCCGGTTAAGGTTTTTATGCCTTTAGTAAATCTGTATGCAATATTTTTAGAATTATCAACAATTTAAAGTTGTTTAAGTGCCGCTAAGCCTTTTTTTTATGGCGGCCATTGATTGTTTACATTTGAAACAGCAGACTAGTGGATTTGTTGCCAATCTAGAGAAACTTAGCTTCGCAACAACAAAGATAATGCCTTCATTTATTATTGCAAATTAAATCATGCTTAATCCTTTCTGGAATTTTTTCGAGGAAATAAATGTTTAAGATTTACTTCGTAATTTTTAATATAGATATTTTGAGTTTTTATGTATTTTTGCCTTCTCGCGAAGTGAGAACTGAATTAATTGAATGAGAAATACTCAATCGTCTGTGAAAAACGGTTTCTTTTTTGTTTTGTTTACTTAATTTCTTTTATACATCATTCTAGCTTTATTATAGTATTTGAATAGAACATGTGGCAACGATTAGATAATTCTATTCTATAAATGATATAAATTTTGTGCATTCTGAGTTATAATATGAACGAAATATAATACTGTTAAGTGAATCTAGGACCAGAGTGTCGCTATGATAAACAAATACTAGAGTGAATTTTAAAGAATGCATTTATTCTATTATGGTTTATGCGCTGTCGGCGAAGTAGATTTAATTCAATCCAATGAGTTCAAATGAAATGCAAGAAAAAATGCGTATAACTTAATATTCCGTAGAAGGAAGTTATGTGGATCAGATTTTTTTTTATTGAACTAAAGTGATTCTCTCTTTCTCAGTTCGAAATTTAAGTTCAATCAAAATAAAATTCGCAGATATTTTCCGATTTCTTCAAAACTTCCCAAGACATGCATGAATATATTAGCGCGTTTTGAAATTTAGCATATTTGTTATAAACAATAATAACGCCAAATGTGGTTTACGAACTTTGTTAAAATTATTTGAAGGAATGAATGATGCACTTTTTTCCCTGCTCGTACACAATGAAAGGGAAGCAAAAGCAGGTTACCATAAATTAAGAATTTTTGTGGATGAAGTTATTATTGGAGCAAGCTAAAAAAATAATCAGATAATTTTTTTAATTGTTCTGTAAATTTTCCACCGAATTTTATAAAATTTAATATTTGGGCATAATTTAAGTAGTAGAAAGGAAATATGGAAAATAAATCCAATTTTGTGTCAAAATACCTATGTTAGAACAATGTCATATATAAATCTAATACATATCCTAAATTGCTCGTTCGAGATATTTAAAACACAAGTTTCAATCGGTGCAGTAAGACGAGAGATATAGAACTCTCCACTTTTATTTGGTGCATGAATTGCATTCCTCGTAGGAAGTCTTGGATGGTGAAAAAAATAGAACTTTAGCCTCTGCAGCAAGACATATCTATAGCACTAACAGAAAATCCAAGTAGGCAGTGGGAAAGATGGCATTCATCGAATCGAACTGGGCTGTACCGCCCATATCGCGCGAAGCTCGACGTGCCCTGCTCTATAAATCTATAAATAAGGCTGTTGAGGCGCATCACATAAATAAATCATAATCATAGTATCCGGAAGTAGAACGTGATTCATCTGGTCGTGTAGTGTCATTTAGACATCATTAAGATATCATTTTGGTCAAACGTTTAATGTACAGTCCGCATATTTATTGAAATGGCGAAGACAACAAAAGAATTTTTATAACATTATTCAGTACAATTACGAGTGTTCGTTGTCCAGATACCTAAAGTTTAGAATTCATGTATTTGAACTGCGGGCACTTTGAAACTGCTTTGCGGGCGATGCTTGCCGACCCTGGTCTTGACCACTCAAATTGTTGGATGCAGGCCAGATGTGCATCACCATTGATTCCCCGCACAATAATGATGTCACAAGGTCTGAAGCTTGTTTATGTTCAGATATTACTAGAATGCTTTTTAAGCACTTCAACTCTGAGAACCTGCATTAAAAAGAGACGTCATAATTCAAACCAAAACATTTTGGATAAATCAGTTTGTTACGCATCACATCTGACGACGTTTTTGGCCACATTCTGCCGACATATTTCGCAACATGTATAGAAGAAAGCAAACTTCAAAGCAATATGACATCATCACTGTGGGCGGAGTTAATAGGTGATACTATCCCGATGGGCAGTTTTAAGTGGTTGTTGTAGCAACACATAGTTAGCTTTTGTACATATCGGCTTAATGGCAACAATAAAAGGAACGGTAAATGATAAATGAAAGACTACACAAAATCTTTTTTTATCTTGGTAATTAAAATTATTGTTGTAAAACGAATCATCATGGTAATTTTCTTTTTCTAGACGGAAGATGATGATAAAGACTTAAGCCACCTATCAACAGGTAACACAACAGCTGATGGTTATGCAAGTACAATTCGTCTAGATTTTAAATCCGCTTATCAGACAGGAAGATATGTCTGTTATCATGGAAATCACAACACGTCGTTGTACATATTTGTTGATGGTAAGTAGAATTGAAAACTTCTTTTATTTGAAGGGTTTACTGATTATTAGTGATGAATTAAATGTAAGACACGAGCAAATGTGAACATTCTACGGAAATTTATATAAGTTTATATTTCCGAAAGTATTCTTTATTTTCATTGCGGTTAAAATATTTCGGTATTAAACAGAGTCAAGTGTTTTTAATTGCCCTCCAAATGATCCTCTTTAAAGGATTTAGAGTGTACTCATTCCAATTACGGGGTCTCAAAAGAGTCCCGTATTGTTATTATTCGTCACTACCCTCCCCGTTCTGGGAGTGGGTAATTTGCGCGCCTGCTGCCTTCTTTGGATGTGGTAGCCGTTTCTCAAAGTCCTTTTTCCGGGCTGGCTGCATGGGCGTTTTCGTGGTTTTCCCCATGTGTAACGTGTATACGAGCCAGTTTCCCTTAGAAAGTCCTCCACGAAAGGCATCCCTCCCTTTAGGCAGATAGCCCTCGTGTGCTTTGCCATAATTAAATACACCAACACCAAAGTCCTTTTCAGAAATACTTTCCTAATTCAATGTGATTAATAGTTAGGGAAAACAAAAGTAGAGAAATCTAAATACCGTGTGTATTGTTTTAATAATTTTCTTTCTTTTTGTGCTAATTTTTTCTCGAAAATCGAGAGGGCAAAAATTATGCGAATAATTTTACTTCCGAAGGATGGGGTTACAAAGAACATAACAAAAACAAAGTAGTCATGGATGAACTACTGGTAACTTTCCCAAAATTATTTCTTTAAAAGAGACCTACATTCCAATAAGAATACATAGTATAGTTAACATTACTATATCTAATAAGATATAACGTATTATATAACGTATTTTCTCCCTGTTTTCCGCATCATAGGGGTCGAGTGTAATTGGAAGCACACTCTACGAGTATTCGGGAGGTCCGGCGTTCGAATCCCGCAAGGGCAATTCACATTTTTCACATCTCCAGCATATAAGAAACTTCCTTAATGCTCTACAGTGGATCCTGAGCTGAAACGTGGTGGAGGATAATTCTTCACCACCAGGATTCGGTGACTGGGTCCCCTAATCTCCAGTCGCCCTTTAAAAGAGACATTATATAAGATATTTTCTCTCTGTTTTCCGCACGCCTTCGTGGTGTAATTGGAGGCATTCTAGACCCGTATTCGGGAGGTCCAATGTTTGAATCGGGTATTGCACATTTTTCACGTCCCCAGCATAAAAAATACCCTAACCCTAATAAAAATAACAAAGATAACGCCTTCTTTTATTATTGGGAATTAAATCATACTTAATCCATTCTGGAATTTATTCGAAGAAATAAGTGTTTAAGATTTACTTCAGAATTTCCAATACAGATATTTTTAGTTTTTATGTATTTTTTGCCTTGTCGCGAAGTGAAAGCTGAATTAATTGAATGAGAAATACTGAATCGTCTGTGTAATTTTTTTTCCCTGTTGTTGTTTGCTTAATATTCTTTTATACATCGTTTCAGATTTATTATAGTATTTAAATAGAACATGTGCCAAAGATTAGATAATTCTTAAGATGATATAAATTTTGTGCATTCTGAGATAAGAAATGAAGTAAATGTAACGCTTTTAAGTGAACCTAGGGCCAGAGTCTCGCTATGGTAAACAAATATAGGGAATTTTAAAGAGTGCATTTATTCTATTGTTGTTTATGCGTAATCGAGGAAATAAATTTAATTCAATCCAATAAGTTTAAATTAATGCAAGAAGAAACGTGTATAATTTAACATTCCGTACAAGGAAGTCATGTGATATACACATCAGATTTTTTTTATGTTTTAAGATAGATTCTATTTCAGTTTTCCCCATAATAATAAGTTTCAGTATTTTGGTATTTTATGTCAAAAGAAAATTGACAGTTTTTCCTTGAAACGCTAATGAATTTTTTTTCCCCCACAGACGGAAAACATCTTTTGTTGCCAATCGAAATCAATGCCATCATATTTCACGAAGGCCGATCCGATGTAATACGATGTCTCCCAACAATTTCCAAAGCTGAAATTAGTTTGTGGAAGCTTAAACAGCCTGACAAGGAAATGGTTCCTTTGAGTAACACACTTGAGTATGATCCAACTGTAGGATTTAAAGTAAAATATCCTACGGATTATTTTCAACGAAGTTTCAGTTGCGTGGCCCAGTATGAGAACAGAACAGACAGTATATGGCTGGATATTGAAACACTAGGTAAGATAATTTCTTATTAGGATTACATGCTTTCGGCAAAGTTATCTCTAAATCTATTATCTCTATTTATATCTATATCTATATTTCTATAATCTATATCTCTGTTTCGATTTTTTATTTTTTTGGTAAAAATTCGTCTGATTGGGTAGAAAAATGGAAAGAAATGGGAAGTTTCTGCTTGGAAATTTTAACGATAGTAAGACGTTTTCTATAACGAAAAAATTACATTATTAATAACCTGAGTATTTTCCTCGCTATTTGCATATTTCAATTATTCTCCTGCAGATCTTCGCAGGTTTAAAACAAAATTTAGTCATATTTATAAAGCATAGTCATAAGGGCATCTTCTCCGCTCGCCATGATATATAATAAATACTTCCTGTCTTTGTGACCAAGCAATGACAACAGCTGTCCATCTTGAGGTTTAAATGCGTCGATATAGTAGAACCGTACCTTCACAAACCAAGCAGCGTCAAAACATTTCATTTAGCCTAATTTTCATCCGCCAGCGCTTAAAGTCGGATTGTAGGAAGAGCTCTATTTATGGCACTAGAGGTGCTATAAGTCCCAGGCTTCAATATGTGTCTGTATCACTTTTGCTGCCAAAATTTATGGCAATGTATTGTTTTTAAGCAAATAACATAGGGAATATAAAACAAATGTATGGCAAAACAAATAAAAAGATGTTGCCAACAAATGTTACCGCCATGTATTATTTTTATGAAGTTTTTTTAACTATGTATTATTTTTATTGTAAAAGAATGTACGGAAATATTTAACAGTTTATCGGGAATCCTAAAAATATCTGATACAGAATAAGCCGTAATGAATCGAATACATAATGAAGTTAGTTCTGAAACAAATAAATAAGCACAACTCGACTGGTCCAATTACATCGCTTTTTTTTTCCTACTGATGACAAATCTCTATAGAGAGCTCTCTATCTATATGCATATGAAATGCAAAAACTCCATTCCGCCTCTCAAAGCCCCCCAAAGGCTACTTTACACCGAAAACGAGAGAGTAAAGCTTTTAGCACAGCATCTGGAACTTCAGTTGTGCACAAAGAGCGTTTATGATAAGACTTAATATGAAGTTTTCACTTTACCTCTCAATACCCCAGATTCCCAGTTTTAAACAATATTACTAGACTCTTACCTTTGGAGGTATTTTGCTGTATTAAGAATCTTCGATTCAAGGAAAGCTCTGGGATCCATAGAATCAATGACAAGATGCTCAAGAAAAACTTCCACTGAAGTCGATTTTCATTCTCACCAAGATATTAAACATTTCTACTGAGCGTCAATATCTTCGAGGCTTCTAGAAAACTGCAATGGTTACTCCGATGCTAAAACCAAAGAAACCACAAACTTCAACAGAATCCCACAGTATGTATATTTCCTTCCATAAGCAAGATCGTTGAAGTTGTGGTATTGAATAGAATTCGTTGCTTCATGGACGAAAATAATATCTTTACCCCCAAGTGTGGCTTCCGAAAGCCAGCCTTCGACGACGGCTCAGCTGTAAAGAATATTAGAATAACTTTCAAGAGGAATGCTAGACACCAAAAACTACTGGAGAGCTCTTTCTAGAGATAGCGAAAGTTTTTGATAACAACCGGCTAGAAGCATTCGAATGCAAAATATAGAACTTGGGTTTTAAACATTACATCACTGTGTATATTTCCTTCCATAAGCAAGATCGTTGCAGTTGTGGTATTGAATAGAATTCGTTACTTCATGGACGAAAATAATATCTTTATTCCCAAGTTTGGCAGCCTTCGACGACACGTCAGCTGTAAAGAATTTTAGAATAACTTTCAAGAGGGATGCAAGACACCAAAAATTACTGGAGGGCTCTTTCTAGAGATAGCGAAAGTTTTTGATCACATCCGGCTAGAAGCATTCGGATGCAAGATATAGAACTTGGGTTTTAAACATTACATCACAAGAGTTATTAAATCCTGCTTGACACTTTGTCGTTTTCATTTCTAATGCGTATTCCATATCTTGTGCCATTCCATCCGGTGTTCTACATGGGTTTCTCCTCGGGCCCATGTTATTTAACATTTATGTGAACGACATTCCACAGACACCAAAACAATGAAGATGATGCAGTCGACCCCATGTACAAAATGCTTCTCCAAGACCAGTCATACAACGTTTACAAACTCATAGTTACGCATTTGATGCCTGGCTAATCAAATGTAAATTACTAATAAATGAAATGTTAGTTGAAATTCTGTTCACAGGGAGAACAAACTCAAACTGCAGTTTACATCTTTACGAGAATACCTTCCCCTGGGTTAAGCAAGCTCCTTAACTTCGGGTGTTCCTCACTAATATTCTAACATAGACCCCATACTTTATGTCTATTATTCAGAAGTTTCGAGCAATAATGCTAGATGTATCTTTTAATTTTATTCGAAATAGCGTTCCTCCTGTAGATAAAAAAAATCTACTCATTTACAAAGCTATTTTGTGTCCCGTTTTATGTTATACAACCCTGACTGGGCGTACTCAAGCCGCAGTAATCTCGAAGCAATTACAGACTGCATAAAATACTGTTCTTCGACAAATATGTAATGCATTGTGGTACTGTAACATAAGCGAGCTTCCGAGATGGAAAATAATCAGACCAGTGTTCTTTTTAATATTTATTTCAAAACTTAAACAAGATTTTCTGGGTTAAATAAAAGTTAAAACATCAACACAGTTACAGAAAGGAAAGATACAGCTTTTCCCGTCGCGGGGCGCGACTTACATCTACGACATTTTTCAGACAAAAGCTCTTTCTTTACCTTTTTAGTTTGCATCGCAAGGAAACCGCACTCGGCGGATACTCGATTTATGTTGTAATATAGTAGTTCTCTAATATAGACCTGATGTTTCATCAAAACTGAGGATTGCTACAGTGTGTTCGTAACAATAAAATAAATGAAGAATTAAATGTTGTGAAGCTTAGAAGTATACATGTAGCCAAGCCATTTCTTACAGCTTCTTTAATTAATAATGAATGAGCATAGCCATTTTCGGTGATGACACATACGATGCTCGTAATCTAAAATACCGTAGAGCCATACTTAACGTAAATATGATCTAAGGACAGCTAGTTGTCTTGCTTGGTTTCATTATTTTTGTCTATTCTGAAAATGCAAGCCCTGTGAAATTTGTAATTTTTTGGATATTCTTAAGATGGGTGATGGGTTCTTAAGCATGACGGAGATTCTATGATTTTGAGGTATGGGATTACATTAAGGGAATTCTCGGAGATGGGCATCTCATCATAATGATGGGCATTCTGTTAAGCTTTATTTCTTGATGGACAATCTTAAACTTTTACCACGATGGGCATTCTTTGATTTGACATAATTCTCAAAAACAATAATTTGACAAGGAGGGTGTTTTGAACAGAGTAACTTGCTGACATCAACATTCCAATCCGAAGTCGGCATAAAATATTTCTAACTTCCACACCTCAGTATGCTGTCATTTGGTGAAGCGTAAGGTAGTTTCTTTTATATTTAATCTGCCTAAGTCAGAAATTTAGCGCAATGAACGCAATTCTTTGTGTTTTTATTGCCGGCTGCACCAATGAAATGACACTATCTGGATTTATAAAAAATATTATACATATATTTTTTCTTTTCATAATAACCATTTTAGGTAGCTGTCCACTTCAGCGTCTAGTTGTTTGTAAAGTGAAGCAAAAGACAGCAAAAGGAATTCGACGCAAAAGTGAGGTTTTAGAATATAGCCCTTCTGCATAAATGTACACTGACTACCAATAAGTATTTGGACATCTGTAATAGAAAAGAAAAACTAACTTTATTCAAAATCAATAGTTGGTAGAGCCTCCACGAGAGGTAATTACAGCGTGGACCCTCAGGGACATACTTTCCACAAGTCTTTTTCCACTCGGCTTGGAGAAGACATAGAAGTTCCTTCACCGATTTTGCACGGGTAGTGCACCCCTGAATTCGGCGATGCAACTCGTCCCAGAGGTTCTCGATAGGGTTCAGGTCTGGACTCTGGGTAGGCCAGTCCTTTCGATGAACTACATTGGCACCATACCAAGCCTTGGTTAACGTCGAAACATGATAACTGGCATTGTCGTCCTGAAAGTAGCAGTGGTCCAACCTGTAAAACTGCCACAACGTAGGAAGCACATTGCCATCCAAAATAGTGCAGTAGGCATCGGAGTTGAGCTTACCATGAATGGGGACCAAGGGTCCCAGCCCATACCAGGAGAAACACCCCCAGACCATAATTCCATCTCCGTCGAACTTGACTGTTGGCACAATGCATTCTGGCAGGAGACGTTCTCCAGGTAGACGCCAGACCCAGACCCTAACATCCGAACGGTAAAGGGTGAACCTTGATTCGTCATTCCAAAGAACCCTTTTCCACTGATCTACGGTCCAATTTCGATGTGCTTTGCACCACATTAACCGAGCAGCGCGATTGGACTTTGTGATCAAAGGCTTATGGACAGCAGCACGACCGTGAAACCTAAGCAGATGTGCTTCCTTACGGATGGTATTCATTGAAACAATATTCCCGGATGCCTGTTGAAACTCCTCGCGGATGAGGGCCATCGGTTGGGTGCGGTTCTTCCGAATTTCTCTGGACAGCACTCGTCGGTCTCTATCTCCAGTTTCGTTGGTCTGCCGACTCGGGGCATATTCCGACAATCACCGCTCACCTTCCACTTCTTAATCACATAGGCCACTGTCGATTTTGGGTACCTCAGATCGCTAGATGTATCCCTTAAGGATCGGCCGCTTTTGTGATACCCGATAATTATACCTTTCTGGAAATCAGAGAGCTCCGAACTGCGAGGCATCTTGCATGCGACTAAAGCCGATGCTGTTTCCTACACGATATATACCAGCGGATTCCGTGACGTAACGTAGAACCGCAGATATCGTCATTTGCATAGGTGTCGAAATACTTATTGGTAGTCAGTGTATAGCAGCACTTATTACTGTTTCAGGAATTCCAAAGGAAAGCTGCTGTTGAAAGGTTTGTCTATGTCTTATCACTTAGTAAGAGGCAATCGACCATTAACGGCCTTTACCAATATATGGTACTTGACTTTTAAATGCTTGAAGAATCGAGTAAGTTGTATCCAATAATATGGAAGTACTTGTACACATGCTGTGTTAGAACTCAGAGATTACTAGCGACGGAGTCTCCTGTGCCGCCGTCCGTAGAATAAGTAAACTTTGAACATATGAGGTGCTCCTGTGGCGCCATTTATTAGTAGTGAACAAAAGCATTTTAGTTGACTGGAGCTCTGGTTGCGCCATGTCTTGCAGGATGTATTGTAAGGCATTTTTAAAATTTCATAAAAATTATTCTTTTGATAAGCAAGAATTGGCAAGTAAAATGATGAAAAACACAATTTGCAGTACATTGAAACGTTTCACAAATGTAAAAACTATTTACACACAAAGTCTATAGCGCTTTGTAATTAGATAAGTAAATCTATAAGTAAAGAAAATGAAGTAAAATCTTGGCTAACTAAGAAGAAAACGAAAACATATACATTACCACCGACTATTATGGTGAATGGTGCGGGGCCTCTTGAGGCGTTGTTCAATTGTGAAATCATAATTTCCTAGTTTTTTGATGATATTCTTAGGATGACTGTCACATTTCATAATTATTTTGTCTCGTTCGTATGATCTGAAAAGTTCGTAACTTTGCTGTTGAATTTTATGTGACATAAGTAAGAAGAAAGTGGTGTTGAAAAATAAAGTCAAAAAGATAAAAACGTTCTGCCATTAGGAGTGAATCCAAAATTGCGAGCTAGACGAGAGGAAAAAAACCCTTGACTAACCCTCTTGTGCAACTTTAAAATCTGCACGTTTTCAGCTTATTCTTTCCTTTTCTTTTTACATCCTTGTACAGGAAGTATTGTAATCACAAAAAATTCTGGTTATCATATTTCAACGAAAATATTCATTCTGACCTCTATCGAATTCAATTTAACGTCGTTTTTCGATGACAAATGTACGTAAAGAACTCTTTTTTTCCCAAACGAATTATAAAACTCATTTAAAATGGATTCAGAAGAGATTCTTTCCGTGGTTGTCAGTGCGTACGTACGTATGTATCTCACATAACTCAAGAACAAGTAATCTCAGAGCGTTGAAATTCTGTATATAGGATATATAGGACTGCTATGTTATGTAATTGTCCACCTCCTATTTTGGTTGCAATCCGCCGCACCATTCTTATATGTTGGTAAATTGTGCATTTTTTGCTTAAAAAATGATTGAATTATGTCATTCGTTTCTTCCGGTTAAGGTTTTTATACCTTTAGTTGATCTACATGCAGTAGTTGTAGAATTATTAACAATCTAAAAGTTATTTAAGTGAGGCTAAGCCATTTTTTTTACCATAGCAGCCATATTTGTTTGCATTTGAAACTTAACAGACTAGTGAATTAAGTCTTCCTGCATTTTCAGTGTCTTTTTGACCAGTGGGACCAAAAGGAAAAATTTAGTTTTTTGCACCGAAAAATCTGCCTCCTGGCCGAATTGCTTAAAAATTGTAATTTTAAACAAAAAATTGTTTTTAATTTTATAAGTGTATTTGGTGTTTCATTTTTTTCTATATCTTTCAATTTTAACGAAGATATTTTGAGTTTTCATATACTTTTTCCTTGCCATGAAGTGAGAACTGAATTAATTGAATGAGAAATGTATCTCTAATGAAATTTGAGGGACTAAGTTTAAATGAAATGTAGGAAAAAATGCGTATAATTTAATATTCTGCACAAGGAAGCCATGTGGTGTACACATGAGATTTTTTAATTTTTACTTTAAAATATAAAATTGCATTTATTATTTCGTTTCAGCTGCTACTCAACAAATACCTGAAATTTATATTGATGCTCAAGGTACGGAATATGTTTTATTGGACACCGATTTCAGTATGATCTGCATTATCAAGGTTGAAATTTCAACAATGATTGGTGAGCCACGCTGGGCTTATCCTGTATCAGATGTAAGTAACATATTTGAGTTGTAATTTTTCATTACATTATTAATTTTAAAGAAGCAAAAAATTTATTATTAATTTTCTAGTATTCTGCAGAAAAGAAATACTGTGAATCTTCCTTAAAATTTCATTTAATTTTCTGTAAAGAAAATGGAAATAATGAATTATTTAAAACTCAATACGAATTAGGTAACCGCAGCTTATGCGATCAAGTTTGTCCACTGCTATTTTTGTAGTATTAATTGAACAACATATTAAACGAAAAAAAAAGATTGAAAATTAAAAACTTACGAAAAATTATGTATTCTTAAGTTTTATAAATTGTCGCTATCCCTAAACTTTCTCTCCCTCTATTGAGCATCAAGTTTACTACTTATGCAATTATGCTATTTCTGCTCGCTTTTATGTAATTCTGATGAGGAAGTACATGGTTTTGAACCATAGGCACTCCGCAATTTTTAATCATTGTCATTGGCAAGAAGGTGGCAATAAAATTAATCATTAATAATTTTGATATTTCCTTAAAAACCTACTGAAAATTATCACTTCTAATATTTTCTTAATTAATATAAATTTTATATCGTTTTCATCAATTATTAATGATTTTACTATTTGCTGAAAACCTACTGAAAATTATCGCTTCTAATATTTTCTGAATTCATATAAATTTTATATCGTTTTCCGCACTAATATTCGAAATAATTTTATTCAATTTTCCCATTTGTCGCATTCTCAAAATAATTTGACAATAATATCATTCGCAATTAAAATACTGTTACGAATTTTGTATCGAGTTAGATATTTTTAATAGAATTATAATTAAAATTGTTGTAAAATTGTTCCCGTTCAATGTAGGTCGACACTGTTAAGAGAAAGCTTTGTTGGAAAAGTAAAAAATGAAGGAGCACGTGCATTTAACATTGTGTAAATGGCTATTTCAGTAATTTGTATGAAGAAGTGTATTGAAATTGAATAAATATAACTGATCACTATGTTAGCTGTAACCGTAATTCCATCCTCTTATTGCTTTCCAGTAATTTCCAGAAGCAAATAGTACAAGAATAAATGGCGGAGAGAGAGCGTTTATGTCAGTTGCTTAGTTATTGTTGTTGCGAGTTGATTAGTTCTGTGTGAACTGAGTTTCAATCAGTGTTAGTGATTTAGTTCTGTGTTTCAATCAGCTTCGTTTTAGATACCCTTGCATTGCGTAGTATTTTTAACTACTGATTATACTGCGTGATGTTGTGAATACTTGTATGAATATCTCTGAGGAAAATTCCAGCGTTCTAGTATAACTCTTTTAATAGGAATAAATTTTATTAATCTATTATCGGACTTGTGCATTCAATCTAACACGAGCCTGTCCGCACGCAACAATATTTTAACATAGATCTAAAATTTAATTATGATTTATTAAATTTTAATAACCTTCTCAACTGAAATGTTTGAAATTTGTAGTCCAAAGGGGCAATTTGCCCAGAAGGATTATTAATTTCGTTTTGGCATTTTGCGTCGATTCACGATAAGCGTTGTTTTACATTTCAGATAATTGCCATCAAATATTATCGCCCTGTATTACATTTAGAGAAGTTAAATAATGAAGAATATGCATGAATATATGTATGTTTATCGCATTGTGATAAAACAACGGTACCTAGAGCCACCCCAATTTGCATAACGTAATCTCCCATACAATACGGGCATGTGGAAGCCCTAATTTGAATTTGAAATTTATTATCGACTTTATATTTTTTAACACTTTAACGATTTTTTTATGAACAAACTAAAGGATTTCAAAGCGAGTAATGGCAACACTGTATGGAAAAAGACATTTTTATCTCCAGCGCACAAGACTCTGTATCGGAAATTCTAAAGATATGCTTATTTTAAAATTAATTTGCGATTTTGCTGTTGAACTGAATTTTATAGTTTGGGTACGTAGAACATGATATTTAATAAAATAAAGGTAACACATAAAATGTTAAAAAAATGCTCCTTTTGAACGTAATTTAAATTCTGAAATGTTTCAGATTTTAATTTTTTTTAATATTAATTCTTTTCAAACTATCTTTCAAGTTAAAAATACAATATATATTACATGTATTTATTTAAATAGGCTTTCAAAGTAAAAAAAAAAAAAAATGTTATACAGGAATTGAACTGATATAAATGACGTGAAACTTTAGGCTAGGATGGTGAATCAAAGATTTTGTAGGCTGTTAAGAGGTTATCCCCTTTCCCAAGAAGGCTCAGACGATATAGTGGTAGGCGAACGTACTACTGTACCCAAGGGCTCGGCTTCGAATCCCGGAAACTGGCATGATTCCTTAAGCTGGTAAGCGTTTTGGAGCAATCCATTTGCGTTCCAAGCAATAACAGTGAGAGGCATATTTTTACTAACCTGATACATTATTATGAATTTCATTTACAATTTCATACAATATAAAAAGTTTATCAACTGGATGACATATAATTCTTTTAGTTTTGGTAAATAATTTTTAACACATTGTTCACTAGTCTAATATTATTGATTCCTAGTATATTATTGAATTCAGATTATTTCTCGTAAAGCCATTTTATGACGCCGCTAAGGAGTGCCAACATATGGACATTTTCAACCTATTTCACTATGAAATTTTACACGAGGACAGGCACCTCCGTCCATATGCCGCTTTTCTACTCAGTGGAAACCAGGATTTTCCAACATAATTTGTGTTTTTAAGTATGTAGTACTCTGAAAAACTTATTTGACTTGTAAATAATGATGTTTAGAAATCTTAGCCGGATGATCATGTGACACACACAGCCATGCCCACAAGATATTACTTATATTTTTCCTGTATATACTATTTTACTTTTTGGAATCGTATTTTATTTTCTGCATTTATGACTGCAACACACACCTTTTATGAACTGATTTAGTACTATTTTATGTATAACTATTGTAAAACTTCAGATTTACAGCGCGACGATGCCTGGATACATCATCGCCAACCAGATGTCTTATCGCTCATCACGTGACATTGGTCACACCCCCTGCATCTTTGCATCTGCTATCCTGTCTCCACGAGAACTACATTCGGCATTTCCTTACCTGCAGCGCTCCTAGAAGCACCAAAGTTCGATAGCCGGAACACAACCTGCGATTTCGCAGGTTAATCGCGGCAAATAAAGCAGTTGGAGTTTGTTTGTTTGTTGGAGTTTTTCTCATAAAGCCTAAAAATTCAGAGCCTTGTGACTTCTCCTGAGTACTATGCATAACATTTTCATGTGATTTCAGATTTTTCAAAGCATTATTGAGATTACATAACTTAATACTCGTATTTTCAGTAGCCTTTGAGGGCTCGTTTTGTGCAGCAGAAGCCGAATTTTGGGTATTCGAATTGAGATTTTCATTAAACATACGCGCCTGATTTTTTGCCATATTTGCAAATGAAATGCCCTTTTTTTGACTGTGCTGTCCCCCCCCCCTTTTTTTTTTTTTTTTTTTTTTTTGAGAATTATGTCTAGTCCTAGGGAATTTCTCACATCCACGGTATGAGGCCACGTGACTTTTTTATACAGTTCGCACACTTTGGCTCTTCCATCCTTCCTTTGGTAAGACTGACTGATATTTTAAACCTGCTACCTTGCGGCAAAAGCAAGGATTATTAGAACCTTTCAAACTTTTATGTAACCACCATACCGTACTCGTACTCTAAGGAAAAATTTGCCGACCTCACCAGCAAATACCTTTATTAAACAAAACATTTTTACAAAACAGAATAAATTACATCAATTACAATTTCTCTTTTTATATACAAATAATACAAAGAAATAATTCATACATAACAATTCATCTTGAATTTACTTAAATTAATATTTATAAAATAAACATAAAATAATTTACAATAGATTATTTGTACACATATTATTTCTTCTATTATAACAATAATAAATAAGTTACAGTGACTGCTCAAATATAACATTTTCAAACTCAGTAATAATTTTCATAATTTCTATTATTCCTTTTTTAAATATTTCAATTTGAAATATTTTTACAATATCTTTTTCTCTATTCAAACATGGTAAGAATTTTAACCACTTATTTTTCAACAGGTCACATAAAATTACATGCTAAACATCAGCTTCTTGTTCGCCACATAGACACTTCAAATATTTAATATTAAATCTACTATAATACAATGGTACATGTGTATGATTTGTTAAAAATTGGGCCAAAAAACCCATTACCAATACACCTCTTTTTATTAACTTTTTTAAAGAATCTATAGGTATACCTTCCTTTTGAATCTTTATCCCAGAATTCCTTTGGTAAGCCAATCCATTGTTTTATGATCAAGTGAGCATTTTATGCAGCGTGGAGCAAAGAGATAATTTTCCGAAGAATGGTGCCACTTTTGGCAATTATAGTACTGTGGCATCTGGTTCTCGGATACGTATTTTTCAACTGTGACAACAAAGAGTAGTAGATTTGAAACATGAAATATTTCTTCGGCTATGCCATTCTTGATAACCTGGACTAAGAAGAGCGGTGGTTTGGTGGTGGACTAAGAAGAGCGGTGGTTTGGTGGTGGACTAAGAAGAGCTGTGGGTGCTTTGGTTCGTCGTCTTGTGAGCTGAGTGTCTTTGCTTATTCGAAATCCTTTGGCAGTTTTGCTGTTGAACTGAATTTTATGGTTTAAGCTCGAAGAACTTGGTATTTAATAAATAAAGGTAAGGCATAAAATGTTTAAAAAACGCTCCTTTGGACGTAATTTAAAATCTGAAACATTTTAGATTTTTTTGTTTATTTTTGTTTATTTTTTACTAAATGCATTCGGCATAGTTAATGAAAAGTAAATTTCTACTACCAGAATATTTCAATCTGGTTTTTCCTCAAAAACAGAATTATTCGTATATTCAATAGTTGTTAGCATTAACCTAATTATCGATTGCATTTGGCCTCACGTAGCATCATTACGCTGTCAATGGTTATTTCGATAAAATTAATCAAATGACATTGCTAAACAACGAGAAATATATTGTCAAAAGTAGCAGCACACTACAATTCACTTAACGTAAAAATAGCGAGAAACATGTAGTTAAGTACACTTTGTACACGCCCCACCAGCGGCCGAGCGGTAAAAGTCGCTGAACACTGGTAGTTCGGTCCGAGGTTCGAATCCCGCGAACGGGCTGGCTGCATGGGTGTTTTCGTGGTTTTCCCCATGTGTAACGTGTATACGAGCCAGTTTCCCTTAGAAAGTCCTCCACGAAGGCATCCCTCCTCTTAGGCAGATAGCCCTCGAGGCTTTGCCCTAATTACACACACACAGAAAAAAGGTGTATCTCACCCTGGTTCTACTGGGCCAATTGCCAAAATTTAACTCGCGTTTTTCATGTTCATCCCCCACGCCGAAAGCGCGACTTGGATATAGTATATGTTATTTATATACAGCATTTTGTATCAGAATACTAACGTAGAGTATTCTGACACAAAATCGGATTTTTCCTGAAGTAATAGACTTGTTACCCGCAAGGTTTAAAAATCCGGCTTAGGCATCTGTAGGATGCCTAGGCATTGTATAATGCCTAAAACTAGTCAGCAATGTATGAACCGATTCATATGTCATACATTTCTTAGGCGTTCTATAGAATGTCAATTGAGAAACCGGTAAATTACGAAATACATTTCCGATTCGTTTCGAAAAACCGAAACTACTTACCGGAAGTTAATAAATGATGTAAATAAGTCAAAATGACTACAAAGAAGGAACCATGGAACTACTTGCTGCTGAATCGCTAGGATGTGATGTTTGTGAAAAACAAAAGTAGATTCATTTATCCAGTTAAAGGAAGTATCAGTACTGTAAAGTATGCGTCATCGCGGAAGCTGAGTTATTTCCCATAATTCATGAAAATTCGTTTGAGTACTGGATACGGACGACGTGACAGAATGTTGTAAGAACTTTCAACCAAGTACAAAAAACGTTACACTTAATGATATTGAACTGTATAAGCATCTATGTGAGCTTTGCCAGAAAAACAAAAAGGTAAAGAGGGCACTGATGTCAAACTTATGACTCTGAATTTAATTCTCGTTGTCATGTATATCTTACCAATTCCCAGATCTGTATCTTTTCAAGAAGGAAATTTATGTTTTATAGATATTACAGTAAAGGTTGCTTTCAAGGTTCTAATTCAGGACCGCTATTGTGGAATATTCTTTGTGACTCAATGTTTGAATTACCTGTTAAAGAAAATGATAAGTTACAAGTCTATATCATAATCATAATCATTGTTTCCGCAAGTGGTAGACATATTTTAGATACAGGCATTGATCATACCTTAGAATTGATTAGTAACTGGTCGAGAAAAGTTTAATTAAAATTTGATTATAAGAAATGTGCTATAATGGAAATAGCTAAGAAGGGTAAAATGATTACTCTTCCGAGAGGTCGGCTTGAGGGGCATTCTCTAAAATGTGTTCGAGAAATTGAATACCCTGGGATTTTGATCGACGACCAAATGACTTTTATTCCTCACCTCAGAAGAATTAAGGTACAGTAATCTACTACTATTTTAAATAATCTTTATTCTTTATCTTATTCTTTATTATTTTATCTTGCTATAAATTTATTAAATAGCAAGATAAAGAAAATCTTTTACATAAGAGGAATTGAAAGGAAAATTTTGTACGCAATGGCTGCTTGGTACAAAAATAATGTAAGAATTAACAATATGTTGGTCCAAATTCAAAGACTAGCAATGTTAATTATAACCAAATGTTTTCGAACAGTGTCTAATGCTTGTCTCTTCACATTAAGTGAGCCAATCTATTTGTTTGCTCAAAATGATTATATTTTACTTTATTTAATTTGAAGCATGGTCAAAGTATAGACTATTCCTAAGACTATACTAAAGATTTGTCAGTTGATATCTCAGATATTGAGATTCCCAAATTAGTTAATGTTTATCATCCTGCATTATATAAAGATAATTTTTGGGACAAGAAAAATCCCATTCGTGAAGGTTACGAAATGGTTACGGATGGTTCTAAGTTAGAAGAAAGAGCGGGTTGCTCTTTGTTGCTATTTCAAATGGAGAACTAAGTGTTAATAAAAAATACCGTTTAAGTGATAATTCTACTGATTTTCAGTCAGAAGTGTTTGCCATTCTATGATCTTTGGAATGGATTTTAGGAAAATTTTCTAATGAAGATGTTGATACTTTCTCTGATAGTCAAAGTGCAATTCAAGCTCTATAGTATCTGGAAAATCATATATTAAATTAGTTTCTGAAGCTCATGCATTACTTATAGAAAATTTGAAGATAAGAAAAATTAATCTTCATTGGATTAGACGTGAGGTCATATTGGCCACGAAGGAAACGAACTAGCTGATTTATATGCAACAGGCTACAAGTGTGTATTGTGAATACGGCAAAGCGCACGAGGGCTATCTGTCTAAGGGGAGGGATGCCTTCGTGGAGGACTTTCTAAGGGAAACTGGGGACACACATGGGACCACTTACACATGGGGAAACCACGAAAACGCCCATGCAGCCAGCCCGTTCGTGGGATTCGAACCTCGGACCGAACTACCAGTGTTCAGCGATTTTACCGCTCGGCCGCTGGTGGGCTAGGCTAGAAGGAAACATCAAGTTAATGTTTTTCTTCCTATTTATTTCGTTACTTTTAAAAATATAATAAAGAATAAAATTTTGGTGATTTGGCAGGATAATTGGGATAATGATTCAAAAGGAATCTAATAAAAAGAGATGTATTGGAAATGGGTATTTCACCCAGTTCCTAACAAATTCACGCTCATGTACTTGCATACTACAATAGGTTCAATATAAAATTTATTAATTGCAAATGTGGTGAACATGATTCTGATGTGGAACATGTTATAAATTGCGATTTATTTAAAAATAAATAGTTTAAGTTTTTACCAAGATTGTGTTATGAATTCTGATATTGTGAAAACATTTAGACAAAAAATCTAAAAAAGGATTTACAGAAATAATGAAAATTATAACTGATTTTGAAGAAGGTATTCTTATACGGTCTCTGTAGAAAATATTGATTGTATAAAATTAATTACTTTGTGCAAATAATCTATTGTATATTTAAATTATTATGTATATATTGTATATATTGTTATCCATAGATTGGATTTTATTGCATTGTTACTTTTATGTATTATGTTTTTGTAATCGAGATGATTGCAATATGAAATTTTTGTTTGTAATAATTTTAGTTTAAATAAAGATATTTGTTGGTAAGGTCGGAAAATCTTCTGTTAAAGGACGAGTACGGTATGGTGGTTTTGTAGTTTGAAAGGTTCTAATAATCCCTGCATTTGCCGTAAGGTTGCAGTTTAAAAGACTAGTCTTAGTCTTACCGATTCCCAGTTAAGCCAGATAGAAAATACAAATTTACTATGTTGTATCAAGATCACCTCAATATTTTTTTTACATATTTGCAATGACAGTTTCTTAAAGGCATTCCTTCAATAATTTTCCAAACTAGCAATTGTATTTTTGAGGAATGAACGTCTTTTAAATAATAGTTTTATCATGACCTATTTTTCATACATTACCTAACGAGCATTTGTCATTCTACAGAGTGCATAGGTATTATATACAATGCCTAGGGAAAGTGTGTAATAATTCTTATATTTCATATTTTGCTTAAAAACGTCCGGCCTTGTATAGAATGCCTAGGCATTGTATAGAAGAAGCCCGGCGTTTCATACTTTACTAGTAACATAGCTATTTTTTTGCCACATTTCGATTCTATGACTCAAATCATGACAAAATGCCAAGTTTTCTAAAAATCGCACAAGTAGTTTTTATAAAATTAGGTGTCAAAATTTTGGCTCCTAAGTGCTGATTTAATTCGGTATATATTGTTACGGTTTTTTTTTCTGACACCAATTGTTACGTTATTTTCTTCCTTCACGTTCGTACGGGTGTTTCGTGTGGATTTGGAGTGAATAACGACGACACTTGATGATGAAGTATCGAAACACACTTTATTTACCAATATCAATCAGGACAGTTCCAAAATACTTTTACAGTCGTCGAAGATCTACTATAAACATGCTGGAACAATCAGCGACACAGCCTTCACACTGTCAGGCAATAACGTTGGAGACAAGTTCACTGCAAAGCACCAGAGTACAGCTCCCGACTCTGCTTGATCGTTCTCGGAACTCCACGCACTCTCGAGACTCCCTTGCTACAACTCGCGGTGCACATCAAGACACACAGAGCACAGCTCCCGACTCTTCGGTTAATTCGTTCCCGAAGCTTAACACGCTCTCTCGATGATGCATTAACCGCGATACACAAAAAGACTCTTCTTCGATGCACTCGACGACCCACTCGGCACTCGCTGGCCTGCTGTACGTGCTGAGACGATCAACTCGATCGTCTCCGCACGAACTAACTAGATGAGACACATTATCTCGCCCTCTAGACGAGGCACACACTAACTCGCACTGCGGACCAACAGGATTTATATAGCTTTCGGCTTGTGTTTGAGAACATTCTGGGCTAAACCGGTAAAAATTCGTTCCGGAAGGTTCTCCATCCGTCCATGGCATATCGCCAATTTTGTCGCCAAATATGTCAACCCTGCCTTCCTTGCTGTTTTATGGCAACCCTAAAACTGCTTTGCGGGGAAGCCATCTTACCGCGCCTGTGCATTTCGTAACAATATTTATTAATATCTTTTTTTCTACTAAACTTACGTCATTCTTGCTTTCACAGTTTGAAATTTAGGTTCAGTTCAAATCAAATTCATAGATATTTCTTGATTTATTTTTTGAAATTTTTTTTGGGTGGGTATTTTCATAAATGTTTCGGAAAAAGTTTTGAATTATAACCTATAAAATGCTTACCATTGCCTTAAAAAAGATGTATACTGCAAAAATTAGATTTTTTTACCAAAAATTTACAAAGGCGTACGTGAATTTATATTTGTGCGTTCTGAAATTTGGCATATTTGTTATAAGTGATGATAACGCAAAGTGTATTTTATTCCTTTTGATAAAATTAGTTGAAAGTAAGAAAGATGCACCTATTTTCCTCTCGTGTTCAATGAAAAAAGAGAAAGGACGAGAGGTTACTATAAATTAAGGATTTCACCAAGTGAATTATTCTTGGCGCAAACTGAAAACAGGTAAATTTTAAAATTTCT